CAAACCTTAGACCAAGGCTAGGATTAGGGGTGTTCATGGTGTGGTTTAGTTTGGATTTTAATATTTTTTAACTCAATCCAATTTAATTTGTTAGTGAAATTTTTAAATCAATGTAATTTACTATTATATGATAACTAAACTAATCTAACCTAAATTAAATCAATATGGTTTGGTCGAATTAATCGATTTTTAATATATTTTTTTTTATAGAAAATAGAGATTTATATTAAATGAAAAAGAGATTACAAATGAATCTCAATATAGGGCACTATAGCCTAGCTAAAACCGAAGCATAACCTACAGCATAAGTAACAGATTTAAACTATACCCACGATGGATGTGGACAATTAAGCAAAGAGGGCCATCTGTAACCAAGGATTGCATTTACAAACACAATCACTGTATGGGCATAAATAGGGCTACTAGAGTAGAAAAGAAGGTCGCTATGAGTATTAGAAACTTCTGGATGTTTTCACCTATTTAGCCAGCTTCAAGGGGAGAGCAAGGAGTTTTGACATCAACAGTCCCCATCCCATTAGATGTCATCCCTTTCTAATGCATGCGTCATCTGGCAGGGGGGTCATGACCTTTAGCCAATTGGGCTAAAGCCACCCCAATATTATCTGCAAGCACTTTAAGGGCTCTCTCTTCCTCCATAGGCGTTAAACAACTTCTGCACTTGTTTTGAGTATTGTTCTCGGTGCGCAGCGTAGATACCACTGCATGATCTAGTCTTTTACAACAGCCCTTATTTGCTTTTGCAATTTTCCCTTTCCCTCTATGATTTATCATGTCCTCAACTTGTTGGGACAATGGAATGTCCACCAACTGTACCTCAGCAATTGAAGGCAAACATCCCTGAGTCTAGTGAGCTTCAACTCCAAACCCCACATCTGTTGTACCATTCTCATTGTTTGCCCCCTCGACGTGCACAGAAACATTGTTACCCCCCTCAACTTGGCCTCCATAGAGGGGCATAGTATTAACTGACTGGATTTTTCCATTCTCAAAATGCTCGGTATCAGCTATGTCTTTGTCTCCCGCCACAAATTGGGTATTTTTGCAGAAAGCTTCATCCAGAGCATCAAAGTCGTCTGGGCACCATGAGTTCTCAAATTCAGCTTTTAACCAAGGACCAAAGCGTCAGATAATCTTGCCACCTGCGTCTTCAATGCGATGAGCAATGTCACAATCATTCTCCACATGGCCCAAACAACCACATACAAAACAAAACTCTGGGAGTCTTTCATATTTAATCCGAAGTTTCCTACTCTCTGTAGCAATGATTTGAGAGATCTTGAATCATCGCAATGGGTTGACGACATTCAATTCTAATCTAACTCTAACAACTTTCTTGAAACCTTCATCCACTTCCAAAACTCGTCCTAAAGAACTTCCAATCAGGAAACCAGTCTCCTTAGAATGTAAACCAACAGGGACATCAAATATGCGGACCCAGAATGGGTTTGTAGAGAAATCATATTGCTCTGGAGTGAGGGAGGCTTGAAACCTTTTAAGAATAAGCAGTGAGTTACTAAAATTCCAAGGACTCTTGTGGATGACTTTGTGGAAATCTCCAATATCAGAAAACTAAAATAGATAAATTTTGTCTCCGATCTCTAAGAGTTTAAACGCTTTTTTAAGGTTCCAGGAAGCTATTAAAGCATTTTGGAGGCCATTAAGGTTGATCCTCCTCCGGGATAGCAGTTTCCTAACCAATCGTAACTTATCCACTGTAGCATCATCTTGTTTCCGAACCATATGCAATGGGAGAATCCCATCTTCGTTCTTTGCGATTTGGATCCGGTTGAACATAGATCCCAATTCATCTTCTGCCATGATTGGGATGTTGTTTCAATGGTGAAGCAAAGCAATTTTGCAGAGATCTGGCACTCCCTATCAAATTTGCGAAACAGGGGTCTAGAAGAGGCACCAAATTATGACGCCCCAATCGGAACGACCGAATACCACTGATCTAAGGCTTGATGCAAAAAGGAAGAAAGGTAGAGGGGCTCCACTGCCAGAGAGAGGTCCCAAAGGAAGAGGCCCACCGACTCCAAACCCTAGCCTGAAGAGTTTAGAGCACAAGAGAGGTATATAACACTACTGGAAAACCCAACGGGCGGCAAAACTCTCCCTCACAAGTTAAAAGGACATAATTTATAAACAAGTTCTTATACTCTTTTACAATTATAAAGATTAAAAAAAAAAACTTAAAAATTCTTCTTAACTACATCGTTAGAGGCACTAAGGATAATCAAAGATGAATTGAAGTTTCAAGCACAATGCAAATAATT